ACTTTTATGTTGACTTTTAATTTAATCACGAATTCTCGTTGACTAAACCAACTGAGGCACATCGTTAACTGGTTAAACGAAGCAATCAGACGAAGAAGAAGATGGAAACCATGTTGGTGTAGAAGAAAATTATGTGATGGCTTCGAAGTGCCAGTTATGCGATGTTATCGTCATATTGATTCGTTTAGCGAGTTAGCGATATGCCTCAATTGACTTTGTCAATGAGAATTCCTTATTAAAATGAAAATCAACATAAAATTAAGGATTTAAATCATCAGGTCTAGAATTCATGATTTAAACCAACGAAAATGGTAAACTGATGATTTAAATGACATTTTTCCTTTTTTATATTTCACATAATTTAAGTTATAGTGATAGGTTTTTATTTTCTTACTACTAATTCGCGACTATAGTCAGGACTTTATATTTTGGTTGATCAGAAGAAACCAAACATCAAACTATAAACCGTTTCATTCCCACAAGGCCACAATCATAACGAAATAGGTCAATACATAGAACCGGATTCTAATAAGTCTAAATTTGTTGTGGTAACATATGCTATAACATAAAGTACTTCACACCTCATATCTTATAATTTTCAACGAACTTCATGACCTTTAGTAACATGACTCTACCATTCTTCCTCATTTTTTATGCACATATGCTTAATTATATTATATCACATTGATTTTAAAAAAGAATCATCGAAGCTCTCTAGTGTAAAAGTATATGTGGTTGGCTAGATACAGACAGAAGAGTGTCGATTGAAAGAGCACATGGATGCTCAACGAATCTCCCCATATCAAAAGAAGTGGATTACAAAAGAACCTTTTTATATAAATTTTTTTCTAAGATTTTAAAACTTTATATATATGATATTTTTATATTATACACTAAATTTTCCTCTCACTTCGCATATGCACTTTGATTATCGTCACCTAATTCCATAAGTATCTTCATATAAAGTTATGAACATAATAATATCTAAACTTACCATATCTAAATCGAAGTTTTATGTATTAGCTATTTCTTATGTACGTACCAATGGCTTAGAAGATTATTTCAAATTGGAGTTTATAAAATTTAGATGCATTTGACATGAGTGTTCAAAGTACACAATCTCTAAATGTACACTTCAAATTTTCAAAATATTCTCGAAGTAATATCATGGAAATAAAAAAGAGAGAATGGGTTTGCTTTTATGGGTGTGAATCTATAAATGGGATGTTTCCTCCTCAGTAAACACTAATTTCTTTAAATAAAAACAGAAAGGGGACCATTTGCATGTTGCATCTTCTATTACATAGACTCATCCCCACTTGCAAATTCACTACCCCCACCAAACGTTGCCGTTTTAGTAAACTCCATACTCTATGTAAGGTACGTACAAGTTACAAAAAACACCAATATGTGTATGTATGTATATACATGGTCCTAGCTAGCTACCTACAACTCCTAGGGTACACATACCGGAGCCATCATCATCAGTTTATCATCGACATCGATTTATCATTATGATCATCATCTCTCTCTCCTTCAATATATGTAGCAGTGGCAGTAATGTGGGTGATACGTTTGTATAAAGCTGGAAAGCAACATTTGGATCCACTCTCTGTTGGCTTAGGCATGCTTCTTTTAACTCTTCTCATGTATTACTCTCTACTTATTGTAACATTATAACAACTCGCAATTTGCAACATATTTATCACATATATGAACCAAAGAATAAATGTTTACTTGGTAGTCCGTTAAAAAAAAAAAAGTACGGCCATTGATATTTTAATGAAAAATAAAAATATCATCAGAAACTCAAACGTATATTAAAAATAAAAAAGTTTATCATATATTTGTTTGTGATAACGTGCTACTGTAATCCTCAACAATATTTCTACATTTATTTGTTCCACATAAATTAGGTTTATAAACTTGCCAAAAAAAACTTGTAATTAATTATGATCAATATGCTCAAAAAAAGTTGGTAGCAATTTTTTTTTTTTTATATATTTTATGCAATAGTCAAATATGTATGGGGGAATTGATTTTACCATTTTCGATCTACAAAAGTTTTCATGATATTAGAAATAAAGAACTTTGTTTTACAACACATCACAAAATTATAGAAAATTTACAACTCTAGATTTGTAGCAGTTTTGTTGAATTTTATTATAATATTTTTTTTCTTTGAAAAGGTTGATTTTATTATAATATTTTTGGCAATCGAAAATACCGATCGATTAGGTGCGTCTGATTAACGTTGGTTGGAATTTATAGATATGATCACTTTTACTTGACTTTGGATGCAAAGTTAGTGATATCATCACAATCAACCAACTCTTTATTTAGCATCTAACATTGCTTTTTACGAAAGAAAAAGGAAAAAAAAAAGCATATAAATTATAGTACCATTGTATTCGATAGATGATCCAAAACAAAAAGATAAGTTCGAGCATCACATATGTCTGATCAAGTACTTCTCAATTTGCATACGTATACATCAAACTGTTGCATCAGCCTCCTCGTGAGTCATATCGAAACATGTATGACAAATGTGTATGCCTATTCTTCGCAATTCGTGTATCTAACTATATAGATACACTATCTTTTAATAAAATAGATAATTGAAACACAAGTTAACTCGTAGCTGATTTTGTCTCATATATATAAACTTTGTTAACAAAAAAAAAGAAAGAAAGAAAGAATTAAGGATTTAACGTACAAATATATGCTTTAGTACATGAATAATATGGCTTCAAATTAAACTTGTTTATGAAAGTTTTTTTTTTTTTTTTTATAAAAAAAAAAAATTTTTGTTTTTTTTTTGTTTTTGTTTATTTTGTTTATGAAAGTTTCGGACAGAAATATTGCATAAGTTCTAGTTTACTAGAACTACGATGAAATTCTTCAAACTTTTATATATTCGATCACTATTAGGAAACAGATGAAGTATGATTAAACCATTATAAATTATTCTTTTACGCATATCATTAACAAATCACTAAACTGGAAATTTTACTTCAGCAGCTTGAAGCTTATATGTGTAAATATCTTTACCCTTTCTTTTGCAATTAGTGTTTGTTGACTTATTGGTACCAAACTAAAACCTTAAAAAAGGAACAATGAAAAAGAAAAAACTTCTAAACCAATCAGAAGTTTTTTTCTTTTTATCTCTACCAAATACAACAAGTCGTTTTCAAAGATTGTCCATATCAATAAATTTCAATAGCTTGCAATATCGCGTAGCTGTCACAAACCAACAGCTTGCCCAGAACCTATCGAATTTTGGGTAATTTTTGCATAGAAATGGTATCATCCCATTGTTAGTGATAAGGAATCTTTTTGAGGAAAGTTGTTTTATTATTCAATTCTCTTTCTATACATTTACAGGCTTACAGCAATAAATAATTAAATAACACCAGTTTCACATACTTTATTTATTACATCTTCTATACAATAATAAAAAGTTGTAACGTCTAGAGCTATTAATCACTATACCAGCGGTAATTGGCAATTTGGCATTGTGGTAGATTACAAGAACAAATGGTCGTAACACATGTGAAGCCGGTAATTAAGCACGTATACTGTATGCAGTACATAGATCATTATATATTTCACTTTTCAAAAAATATTTTGTGTCAAAGACTGGCACTTGAGTCAATAATTAGAGATTAAAAAAATATACATCTAAATGAACTTTATATATCATGAAGATATTGCATATGAGGTCACTTAGGTATCACATGTACTGGTTTTAATAACATTCAAAATACCAGGTTTATTTGTTACTTTTCCTTAAAAAATTTCTATAACGTCAAATAAATAAAAACTAAAAATATCTCAAAAAAAATTTCACTTTTTGTGTGAGTGAAATTGTTATTAATTGGTATATGTATGAGACTATGAGAGAGTGATAAAGTAGTTGCACGAAGCCTGAAAAAAATGTAATGCTTCACACATATACTATATAGTCTAAGAGTTCCCGTAGGTTATACTTTATGCATGTGTTAACCTCACTTTTTCATGGCTTAGGTCTTAATAATATTGAATATGAATCATAATGCGGTGGAGTTTTGAAAACTATATTAAACCTAATGATGATTCTAATAAAGTCTATAATCAATCTAATAGGACAACAAGAAAACTGTCATTTTTTCTCTCCGACATAGAAAATATAGTCCATAATTCTGAACATATTATTAAAGGTTTAATATAAATAAACCAATTCCTACTAATATGTATAGAGTATAGTAGACATTATTAGGCTTATACAAAGCATCCGATCTTCTCATAATCACATAGTTATAAACTTATAATTGACTGAATGATTAATTAAGCAGTATATTTAGCGTCTAGATATCCGATTTTACATTATTTTAATAACAAACCACAAAATCCAAACATTGATTAATAAATCAAATTCATAGAACATCCGATTACTATCTAACCTTCTAGAACCTTATATAAATTAATAGAAATAATTCAATTAGAATATTACTATTTATTGGAATATTTATCGGTTATCTAATTTATAGAAGAAGAAAAAAACTTGCTTTCAAAAATTAGAAATAAAGAGAAAACATAAAGAAAGAAAAAAAGGGTCCCCATCAATATAGTAGAGAAGTAATTAATAGAGTTACAGAAACAAGCAAAAACAACACACAAAACTAATCTGTCTCTGTAAGATGAGAGAAGAGAAGTGCATGAGGCTCGGAGAATCGGCGTGACATTATTCAATTTTATTCACGGTTCTACTTTGGACCACTTTTCTTTAACGCCTTTTGTTTGTCACTCGTTCTTTTTTTTCTTCTCTCGATTGTTTTTCACTTTCGACCCTTAAACTCTCCATAAATTACGAAACTGATCCCTCAAAAACATTATTCTATCTCTCTCCTTCACGTTCTCCTCCTTATCCCTTCTATATAAACACTCGTCTTCTTCTTCACTTGATGAACAGAAAAATCTCTCTTTCTCTTTCTTGATCTGCTACGGTGAAGTCTATGGTGCACCGGCATCTGATGAAGCTGCCAGCATGATCTAATTAGCTTTCTTTATATCCGTCATGACGATGGTTAAGAGATGAGTCTCGATTAGATCATGTTCGCAGTTTCACCCGTTGACTGTCGCACCCTTATATAAACCCTAATTTTTCTCTCTCTTTTTTCGTTTGTTTGATTTTCAAGAAACTTTGTTTCTCTTTTTTCATCTGATTATATATGTGAGATATTCAAGGCTATATTTATGTTTCATCTGAATTTTCATTATATGATTGTGTGTGTATGTGGATCTGAAGGAGTTTTTTTTTTGTTAGGGTTATAGAGTTACATGACTATAGGAAACCCTAATTTGGCCTTTGAAAAATTGAGTATATTTTTTTGGTTAAATGTGAAAATATTCTTATGATGAAGCTAGGAAAGAAGAGCTTTGTTTTGTTACAGATTATAGGATATAAAAAAATTGAGTTGATTATCTATAATTACTTTTTTGGGGATCTCAAGAGAGACTTCCAACTTCTTCTTTTTAGTTTTTACTCATACCTGTTCTAAGAAAAGAGTTTCATGTACATGTAATTTTTGCTTATAATAGTTTAGGGTTTCTGGGAAGAAGTAGTTGAAACTGAGGTTGTACACGATTGATACATATTTATGTGTTTTCAAAATTTTATATAAAGTTGGACTAAAGATTTTTGGAGTTACTAGTATTTGCTGGGAGCTAACTTTACTTCTGGATCCTGATAGATTAACCACTAAAAATGTTAAGAATTTGAAGAAAAAAAGAATCTGAATTTTTATAACATGCGATGGTTGTTCTAAGAAAAATGTTGTGCAAAAGACTTTTAGGCTTTGGAGTCATTCATCTTTGGCCTCGAAAAAAATGGATGTTATCTATAATTTGTATGGCCTCATGGATCTTAGAGATGTATTTAGATAACCGGAAACATGGTGAGTGAAAGAAGAATCAAATAGTGTTTCAAATTAAACACACAAAAAAAAAACATTGAACAATTAAAATACACAAGAGATATACGGATATGTCAATTTTTACTGTTTCATTGCTGGAAATGGTCCCCTTTGCATGTTTAAGCTATACACATAAACTAGTTAAACAATTGTTTCAAGACTCAAATCACTACATTTTAATTCTATAAATCAAATTTAATTATATACGCAAAATATATATAAAATTGTTCATGATCAAAACATTTCTCAACCTCATGCTTGATCAAATTTCCTGAGTAGCCAAGTACAAAATGATCATCAAAAAACATTAAAACCAAAAAAAAAAAAGATTATCTTCTTTTTAACTCACCGATCGTCATCAACTAATATGTACGTCTATTATAGGGACGATATGATTCGGTTAATGGGATTTTGTAACTTTGGCTTTTCTATATGTATGGGAAAACTCCACCGAATGTACAATTTTTTCTTTTTGTCTAAATTTAAAAATGAGATTCTCCAAGTTGCTTTCGTCTCTTTCAGACTTTCCTTTAATGGTTTTAGTTCGTCAGTTACAAAAAAAAAATCGTCTGTATGTACATAATTACATTTTTGGATATATTTACACCAAAATGTATCACTCTCTTCCGTATTACATTCAATTTTCTCCAACCGTTACTTTTACTTCTCCAAGAAAAGGTCCAGTATTTCTTTACCTTTTTCTTTTATTACGTACGTTTATATATATATGTGTGTTTTATAAGATGACTTAGACATTTTTTTCCTTGTAAGCTTTTTAAGTCGGCAGCATATCACATATGTAAACAACATTCTTTAGGAATAACTCTTTTGAGTTTCAATTAAAAGCGAATGACAAAAGAAAAAAAAAATCTCGTTCTCGAAATAATTTTTGTAAAGAAACTCATTTTGGTGGTTTTTTTAAGCTAGACTGATGGATTTGGTCGAAGGACAGTATAGCTTATTGGCATCAAACTCAATAAATGCAAATTTCTTACAAAATTCGTGATTACATAAGAAACTAGTTTTTTGTGTTAGTAATTCTTTCACAAATCGGGTATATATATTAGAAATAGTATTGACAAAAATAATAGAAATTGTTAATTACTTTTAGGCATTGTGTGCATTTTTTTAATTACACTTCATGAATCAAGAAACATTCCGGTTATCAAAAAAATCAAGAAACATTCCGAGCAATCGAGCATGTCCTTGTCGACTATTATGAGTGGGATTTTTTTAGTTTAGCCGACGACAATTGGGCCTCGTTAATCCATCAACACTTAGGCTTCGTTTTTTATCAGATACTTGGGCCTAGGCTTCGTTATGTCATTGCTACTTATATAAGACCCATAGGTATACAGAGAATGTCTTCATATTGAGATCCAAGGGCCGGGATCAAACAAGTTTTGTTCTTCTTGAATCATCGTTAGAAGCAGCCTTGTCTTTATTATGTTCTTCATCTGTTAGAAAAAGTATCCGTATGATGTCAATGTCGAAAGTAACTCATGTCCATTGGTTTCATTTGTAATAATTTGATGTCTTCTTAAAGACTTTGGATTGAATCTAGAATGTTCCTTCTTTTCCTTTTCTTCAGGACACTCGGATTGGTCAAGAGACTTCGATTATACTCTTTCTCATCTCTTCTCTAAGTTATATGGATCATGTTTTGAAAAAACTATATATATAATATATTAGTTGTGAAATTATAATACAAACTTTATAATTCATAAGTATATATGTCTTTGCATAGTTTTTTTTTTAATTATCCGGATAATGATTACGAGAGAAAAGCAGGTAGGTCGATCATGAATGTTTTATTTTGGCACATGTTGAATGTGAGGTCCCAGCCACCAATAAACTGATAAAGTCCTACATTATCCAATTCCTTTTAGCTACCTCAAAGTATAATTACGAAGATACAAACTTGAATTAGTCAAATCTCTGAGTTAAGACATTAAATAATTTTACAAAACTCGAATAATATAATACTGAGTATATATACTTGTAGTTGTAGTAACCTTGGAGTACTACGAATTCAATTTGATGATGAAATGGAAAAATGGTTAAGAAATGATTGGGAGATTATTCATCTAGCTACCAGTCTACCAACTTCCCAGTTTTGACAATATTTACCACGTGGCCATGAAGAGCATTATCAAACACTTGTAAGAAAAAATAGATCATTTCGTGGCAGCTTCAGGCGGGTCAAGAATCAAAATTGGTCTGGTCGGGTCAAAGTTGAGGAGCTTTTATAAATATAGTAATCAATAAGTCGCTAAATGTAAAATACATTTTCTATAGAAATGCAAAGATAATACTATAATAGTGTAGTATGTACTCACCAAAAAATAGTATCAATTTTGTCCCTCTTATCAAATTGGAATCGAGTTTTTTTTTTTTATATAAATCTTATCGGCTGATCCGGTCAGCTCCGGTAGAAACGCACCGAAGTGCTACAAATTATTCCCGTAGTTCAATAGTTCAACGATTCAACGGACACCATAAGTTTCAAGCGGACTCGGGTCAAACGGATACTTCAAACTTGGATCAGGAAGTGTGATGGCCCAATTCTGGATCTCATAAATTTTATAATCAGAATTTCGATAATGTTTTTTTTTTCTTTGCGAATGCAGAAACTATAGAATTATTAAAAAAAAACTATATATTTACATTGATTCATTAAAATGTTCTAAACTGTAAAAACATTCACTCACGAAGCAGTAAAAAAAAAGCTTGAAATCATGGTAAAACGTTCCATAATAATTAATCGTAAAGATTTCAATACGTCGACATATTTCGTGATCTCCATTAATTTTTTTCTCTTTTTAAAGATTCTCAAATTAATATTCTGAAAATGAAAAAGTAAAATAAAAGGGGACAAATATTCGAGATGTGACGTGGCAGATCGAGTGGTTTAAATATTCTATTAGCAAGTGGTTTGTGTAATAAGCAAATGGGTGGTCGAACCTGACCGTATTCGTGGATATATTCAACTGTAGCATCAGTCCACCCGTATTACCTCACCTTTCCTAACTTTTAATTCCTTTTTAATTTCCTTAACAACAACACTAGTATTATTTATATTTGGTCTTAAAAAATTAGCCTAATTACTGTTTCAACTCTGAATATTCCTTAATTCTCATCTTAATAATATGTCCGAAAATATGTATTTATGGAATTTCTTGACTTTCCCTTGGGATGGGAATATGAAAGAATCTACCAAATCATATGAATACACATAGAAATTCGAAAAAATGTGGTTTTAATTATCTTTATCCCCAAAAAAAAAAGTTTTGTTCTATTATATCTAAAATTCAAAACAGATTCGAAATTTAATTTATTAGTAAAAACTGCGTGTTTGAAGCCTTTGAAGTTATTAATTAGTAAGAAAATATAAGAATGTAATTAGTGGAATTTATAGTAAGCATCTTTTTCTTTTGCCACAACATATGGTGAGCAATTTCTTTATTTTGAGAAGGGAAAATCAATTTGTACATACATACATGTCACTTATTCAATTGAATAATACAAAAGGATTTAAAGTCTAAAATAAAAACAGGTAAAATAATAATTTGTTTTTTTTCTTTGATTGCTCATATTATCGTATAAAATTTTTGGATTATGACACAACAACAATAATAATACAAATTAATCGGTTATATAATCTTTATTAAAAGTTATACGTTGAATAATTAAAAAAAAACAGAATATTATTACTCCCTCCGTTCTTTTATAAGTGATGTTTTAGGAGAATGCACATCGATTAAGAAATCATTTAATTTTTGTTTATTTCTAAAATAAACATCATTTATTTCTAATCAACTAATAAAAAAACAATCTACAGAATATAAGTCGTCAAAACCAATAAAAAAATAATTAATATTACATTGAAAACTAAGAAAATTATCTATTTAAAAACAAAATTAGAAACTTAAAATATCACTTATTAAAAACGGAGGGAGTATATAATTATACAATGACTCTGCACCATACCAATAAGGTAACCTCGTTATTATAAATGTCACTAGTATTTTAATTACACACTGAATAAAATTAATTAATTACTTATGTCCGTCCAGGTACATAATAAGATTCGCAGATACGGTCCTTAATTACTACTATAAACTCTATAAAAACCAATTTTCATTTCCAATTGAATTGGGAACA